TTAAGTTGTGTTCCGAGGTCCATAGGTGTTGTAGGTTGTGTTCCGAGGTCCATAGGTGTTGTAGGTTGTGTTCCGAGGTCCATAGGTGTTGTAGGTTGTGTTCTGAGATACATAGGTGTTGTAGGTTGTGTTCTGAGGTCCATAGGTGTTGTAGGTTGTGTTCTGAGGTCCATAGGTGTTGTAGGTTGTGTTCTGAGGTCCATAGGTGTTGTAGGTTGTGTTATGAGGTCCATAGGTGTTGTAGGTTGTGTTCTGAGATACATAGGTGTTGTAGGTTGTGTTCCGAGGTCCATAGGTGTTGTAGGTTGTGTTCTGAGATACATAGGTGTTGTAGGTTGTGTTCTGAGGTCCATAGGTGTTGTAGGTTGTGTTCTGAGGTCTATAGGTGTTGTAGGTTGTGTTCTGAGAGTCCATAGGTGTTGTAGGTTGTGTTCTGAGGTCTATAGGTGTTTCATGGTGTTTTGTGTTCTGGGGTGTTCCGCCATAGGTGTTGTAAGTTGTGTTCTGAGGACCATAGGTGTTGTAGGCTGTGTTCTGAGGTCTATAGGTGTTGTAGGTTGTGTTCTGAGATACATAGGTGTTGTAGGTTGTGTTCTGAGGTCCATAGGTGTTGTAGGTTGTGTTCTGAGGTCCATAGGTGTTGTAGGTTGTGTTCTGAGATACATAGGTGTTGTAGGTTGTGTTCTGAGGTCCATAGGTGTTGTAGGTTGTGTTCTGAGATACATAGGTGTTGTAGGTTGTGTTCTGAGGTCCATAGGTGTTGTAGGTTGTGTTCTGAGGTCTATAGGTGTTGTAGGTTGTGTTCTGAGGTCTATAGGTGTTGTAGGTTGTGTTCTGAGGTCCATAGGTGTTGTAGGTTGTGTTCTGAGGTCCATAGGTGTTGTAGGTTGTGTTCTGAGGTCCATAGGTGTTGTAGGTTGTGTTCCAGTCATTTATGGTACATATTTAATCGTATCACATATCAGCTTTTTCTATGAGACAAAACTAAAATTAATAAAAAAATTTGAATGTGTTATATTATTTCATGAGTTGAATAATGTGAATAATATTTTTTTCCCTGTAAGTTCAGATCAAAAAGCATCATGTTAATTACTATCATGTTTGAGACTACAGGGTTTTCAAAATTCATAGTTCCAATTTATGAAGTCTTTACATCTATAAATACTTTTGATTTTGAATAATTAGTCTCACCAAAAATAATAAAAATTATATTGTGCATAATTTTACTATGTTTGTGTTTTCATGGGAACTTATTTTCAAACGCTATCGGCTTTTATTTTTGCTACGATAGCTTTGTTACTTTGTTTTTATTGTAGTGTAATTACGTGGGTTTTTTTCTACAATAGTCAATAGCCTAGTGTCCCTGTATAGCCTACAATAGTCTAGTTATGCTTTTGTTTTTCTTTCAGTCAGTTTTTTTTTATGGAGTGGTTTTATGTAAACACCAGAAATACGGGAGGGCGGGGGGGGGGGAATATACGATCGAAGAAATAAACAATGAAATAAAATGAAAAAAAAATCGAAGAGGGAGGAGAATCGTCATTTAATTCACTGTAAGTTTGGACACGTTTTAAAATTATCATAACCGCTCTTGTCTATTTTCAAATGTAGTCATGGAATAAATACTAATGAAACTATTTTGCTTACTTTCTTCTCATTATTAATCACTATGGAAAAGAACAAATCCATTCTATTCAACTAAAACAGAGAGAATTTATAATGGGTAAAATCCGCTTGGGGTAACTTCTGCAAGGATTTCGTTTCTCGATTTGTTGTTACGCTCTCAACACCTTTTAAAATAACCTTGTGGTAAATGTATATAAAACTGTCTTAAATTATAGGCACAGTCCCCGTAATTGCGTGTGTAAATAATACTGTTTTACATTAAAGGCATCGTCCCCATAATCCCTTAAAAACCTTAAAATAGATGTGTAGACCGATAAACATTAGCTGATACTGAAAAAAAAACCACATTCGGACTATCTAAAATAACATTAAACCTGTTACATAATATTTAAATGATTTTTAGTCTATTTACTCAGCGATAACTATCATGTTGTATCATGTTGAACTAACCTCTTTGATAAACTCGACTCAAACAACTTCCAATCCTGTCAACATCCAGCCATTTCAGTTTATTGGTGTTATTTCAACCAGTTTTGTTAATTTGTTTTTGTTACAGGAAATACTAGTATCATATCTCTTGTTTTTTTTCTGTTTGTTTGTTTACTTAACGCCTCGATGAGAATAAATACTTTGGTTAATATTAGGATAGAAGAGTTAGGTAAAATTGATATTGAAACACACACACACACACGCACACCCCCCCCCCTCTCTACCCACACCTAACCCACCTCTCCACCCACACCTAACCCACACACAAAATAGAACGATAACCACACCATCTGATAAAGCAATATTCTCAAAAATAATAAATCAACAACTTTCCTTATATTAGTTTACTACAATAAGTCCCCCCCCCCATTACTTCCTCAATCTCCTTCATTGCTCCACAAGATAATAATAATAATAATAATAATAATAATAATAATAATAATAATAATAATAATAATAATAATAATAATAAAAATAATTAAATATATTCCTCCCAACCACAAGCTGAGTGACGAGTGTGATGGCAGCCAACGGTATCAATTCGCTTGTCAAATTTCCTGACGATATCATGATTGGCATTGTCGAAACTCTCTTAACAGTGATCAAATTTACATTACGAGAGGGAGTGAGAGGGAGTGGGAGAGTGAGAGGGAGTGGGAGAGAGTAAGAGGGAGTGGGAGAGAGTAAGAGGGAGTGGGAGAGAGTGAGAGGGAGTGGGAGAGGGTAAGAGGAGTGGGAGAGAGTAGAGAAGTGGGAGAGTAAGAGGAGTGGGAGAGAGTAAGAGGAGTGGGAGGAGAGAGTAAGAGGAGTGGGAGAGAGTAAGATGGAGTGGGAGAGAGCGAGTGAGTGAGTGTTCCTGCCAATATCATGAAGTAACTAAAATAGCTTAGTCTCTCTTACGTTTTCTGTGCGGCATCTATCTTTCCGTATTCTATGTTTGAACTGTTATAAAACGAGATATAAATTTTACCAGTGGCATAATTATTATCGTTCAGTATAATCGTCATACAAGGTAAATAAGACACATACTGATTAATCATTTACCCAAGACAGTGCAGGTATAAACACAATTATAAGCATTACGTTGATATAACCACGACATTGAATGATGATGATTATAAAAAGATTATATCCACCAGTCGTTTCCTCCTGGTAATTTGAGATAAGAAAATGTAAAATGTCTCCATGGAACTTTCTACAATGTCGACAACCACTGAAGTCAGCCAATCTTTGTGTAGTAGCTGAAGTAAGGACTCCCAGCACAACTTAACACACACACACACACACACACACACACACACACACACACAGTCTCTCCTTGAGTGTAAAAGCAACAATATTTTACCAATGTTACCGTACCTTTACTGGTTATATACACAGGTGTGGCGTTGACAGGTGTGGCCATTGGACAAGATGTTGCACGGACGGAATTTGGCACTAGACAGGTGTGTTGTGTAATGATGCGTATTTTATTATATCAATACCAACAGTGACCTTCAGAGTGGGAATTTGTCCTTGAGAGAGGAGAATTATAAAGAAACAGGAAAGTGAAAAATGCTACAAATAATGAGAATGAGAAAAAAAACAATCAAGAGAAGAAAGAAAACAACAACAAAATAATCAAAACAATAAGAACTAGAACAACAACAACAAAAACAAAGCACAATCCGATAAAACAAGACTTACGATCAACACACACCCACACACCAGCTCCCACACACACCCACACACCAGCTCCCACACACACACACACACCAGCTCCCAGCTCACACACCAGCTGCCACACACAACACAGGAAGCAGAGACACGACCACAACCATGAAACAGTCTAACCTAACCAAACCAAACCTAATCTAACCAAACCAAACCTAACCAAACCAAACTACCAAACCAAACCAACCAAACCTAACCTACCAAACCAACCTAACCTAACCAAACCAAACCCAACCTAACCAAACCTAACCAAACCTAACCTAACCTAGCAAACAAACCAAACCTAACCTACCAAACCTAACCTAACCAAACCAAACCAAACCCAACCAAACCCAACCTAGCAAAGCCAAACCAACCCTACCAAACCAAGCCTAACTAACCCAAACCAAACCTAACCAAACCAACCAACCAAACTAACTAACCAAACCAAACCTAACCAAACCCTAACAAACCAAGCCCTAGCCAAACCCTAACCAGCCAAACCTAACCAAACCAAACCTACCAAACCTAACCTAACAAACCAAACCAGAAGCCAAACCTAACCAAACCAAACCAAGCCACAACCTAACGAAACTAACCCTAACCAAGGCAACCTAACAAAACCTAACCAAACTAACTAACCCTAACCAAACCTAACCTAACCTAACCAAACCAAACCAAACCTAACCAAACCTAACCTAACCAAACCAAACCCAACCAAGCCAAACCTAACCTAACCAAACCTAACCAGACCTAACCTAACCAAGCCTAGCCTCAACCTAACCCTGAGCCTACCAGAGCCAGGCCAGGCCTGGCCCCCAAACCTAGCCAGAGCCAGCAGAGCCAAACCTGACCAGGCCAGAGCCTAGCCAACCCTAGCCAAACCCTGAGCCAAACCCCTACCAGCAAGCCTAACCAGAAACCTTCAACACAACTTAAGCACCTAACCAATCAAACCTAACCAAGCCTAACCAGAGCCTAACCAGAGCCAAACCTAACCAAACCTAACTACAACCCACAACCAAGCCTAACTAACCTAACCAAAAACCTAACCTAACCAGAAGCCTGCCAAACCTAACCAAACCAAACCTAACCAAACCTAACCAAACCAAACCTAACCCCTAACCAAGCCAGAGCCAAACCTAACCAAACCTAGCAAACCAAGCCTAACCTAACCAAGCAAACCAACCTAACCAAACCTAACCTAACCAAACCTAACCAAACCTAACCTGTCAAACCTAACTCAAAACCAAACCTAACTCCAAACCTGGCAGAACCTAACACAACCAGCCTAACCAAACCTAACAAAGCCTAACCTATTGGCCAAGCCTACCAGGCCAAACCTAACCACCAGACCAAACCTACAAACCAAACCCTAACCAGGCAAGCCTAACCAAACTAACCAAGCCAAACCTAACAGACCAGAGCCTAACAAGCCAACAAACACCTAACAAGCCTAGCCTAGCCTCAAGCCTAACCCGAGCCAAACCTAACCAACTAACCAAACCAAACCTGCAAGCCTAACCAAGCCAGGCCTAACCTGGAGCCAAACACCTAACCAAAACCTGGCCAGGCCTAACCAAAGCCCTAACCCCAACCTAGCCAAGCCTAACCTAACCTAACCAGGCCTAGCCTGGCCTAACCAAACCTAACCTAGCCCAAACCACAACTAACCAGACCTGGCCTCTAGCCAAACCAAACCTAACCAAACCAAACCAAACCTAACCAGAGCCAAACCTACAAACCAAAACCCAGAGCCTAACCTAGCCAAACCAAGCCTAACCACAACCAAACCTAACCTAACAGACCAAACCTAACCTCCAAGAGCCAAACCCTGTGGCAAACCCTAGCAAACCAAGCCCCACAACCAAGCCTAGCTTCAACAAACCAAGACCTAACCAGGCACAACCTAACCTAACCAAACCACAACACAACCAAACCTAGCAAGACCTAACCAAACCAAACCTAGCAAACCCAACCAAACCTAACCAAACCTAACCTAACCTAGCAAGCCAAACCAAACCTAACCTAGCCAAGCCAAGCCCTAACCAAAAACAACACAACCAAACCCAACCAACAACCTAACC